GGGGGCTAGGGGCTGCGTGGATAGCTCACTGGGAGGGCTGCATGGATAGCTGCATGGATAGCTGCATGGATAGCTCACTGGGGGGACTGGGCGGATAGCTTGCTCGGGGGGGCTGGGGGCTGCGTGGATAGCTCGCTGGAGGGACTGGACAGATAGCTCGCTGGGGGGCTGGGGGCTGTGTGGATAGCTCGCTGGGGGGCTGGGGGCTGCGTGGAGCTCGCTGGAAGGGCTGGGAGCTGCATGGATAGCTTGCTGGGGGGCTGCGTGCTGTGTGGATAGCTCACTGGCGGGGCTGGGGGCTGCATGCTGCATGGATAGCTCGCTGGGAGGGCTGGGGCTGCGTGAATAGCTCACTGGGGAGGCTGGGGGCTGCATGGATAGCTTGCTGGGGGGGCTGGCGGCTGTGTGGATAGCTCACTGGGGGGGCTGCATGGATAGCTCACTGGGGGGGAGCGCTGCATGGATAACTCGCTGGGGGGACTGGGTGGATAGCTCGCTGGGGGGGGCTGGGGACTGCATGGATAGCTCGCTGGGGGGCTCGCTGGGCTGCTTTGTGCTTCCCCTGTGGAGCAGCCAAGGTCTCTGATTTGCAGCGAGTATCCGCTATCTGAATCCAGAAATGGCTCTGGAGAGTCTGCCTGCCCGGCCCCGAGCCCCGCCCGTGCAGCCCCAGCTCAGAGAAGGTGGCTGGTGCCCCTGATGTGTTTAAAGCCACCCTGTCTGGCAGGGGCAGCATTGGCCTCCTGGAGAGCTGTCCCGTAGCACTGGGGGGGGGGCTCCTGGTGGAAGCGACTCTCCTGTCCTTACTCCCGTCACTGCTGAGCGCCCGACTAACACACGCGGCCGCGTCCCTGGCAAATGCCCTTCCTCCGGGACTCCCAGCGCTCCAGCATGCTGCAGTTTAAACACATCGGGGCACCTGTTGAGAGCTGGAACCCAGGAGTGTGGACTCCCAGGCACCTGCTCTGCCCACTAGACCGCTCTCCATCCCAGAGCCAGGAAGAGAACCCTGGCAGCCTAGTTTCAGCCTCCCTTTTTACCCACTAGACTCCTGTCCTTTTCTGGCTGACAGCAGGGGCTGGCTGGGGTTTCTTCCTGGCTCTAGGATGAACCCAGGAGTCCTGACTCCGCCCTGCTCCTCCACCACTCTCCCCTCGAGACCCCTCTCCAGCCCAGAGCTGGGATTAGAACACAGGAGCCCTGGCTCCCAGTCCCTGCTCTCCCACTAGGCCCCGCTCCCTCCAGCTGGTTTGCCAGGAGGGTCATGGAGCAAAGGCAGACAGTGGAGCCCATGGCCAGGGCAGCACCATGCCGAGCTCCCCAGGCTCTCGGGCGGGGCTGAGGGAGAGGAAGCTGGGAGGCGTCTGTCAGCGTGGGCCTGGGGAGCCGTTGCTGGGGCCAAGCCCCTCACCCCTGCCTCGTGGCCTGGCAGTGATCATGTCAGAGGAGGCTCTGCAGATGCGCCGGGTCCTGCGGAAGCAGAAGAAGCAGGAGCGGGAGCCGGCGGAGGAGCCGGCGGAGCTGGCGGAGCTGACAGAGGAGCAGGAGCAGCTCATCAGCAGCCTCATCGAGGCCCACAAGAGGCACTTCGACTCCGGCTTCTCCCAGTTCGTG